AGCGGGAAGGCGGGGGGGGGGAGGATCCCTCTGCGCATCTGGTCCTCCCGGCCGGCTCAGTCCAGATGTTGCGGCGCGCAAAGAGCAACCCTCGGCGCGCGCGGAGTTTGTTGGTGGTGTAAAACCGGCACGTGCTGTTGTGCTTTCAGCGCGCGCGCGCACGCACGCACACAAGTCGCCTCTTCTTTTTTGTGAATGGGCAAAAAAAAGTGTGCATACTCTGGGAGCCTTAAAGAAAACAGAGAGGGGGAGTTTTCCTTTGAACTTACTCCTAAGTAAACGGGTTTAGGGCGCGGGGAGGAGGGGTAGCCAGGGCCCGATCCGTGCCATGCGAGGTACTTTTCTCTCCGCTCGCGTCCGTTTCAAAGCGGAGGGCAAGGGGGCGGTTAAGGGTCGCGATCCAACGCGTGCTTCCTCGGGAGTAAGCCCCATAGAGTTCAGCGGGGTTTCCCGCTGGATAAATGGGCGTAAGGTGGAGTGTTCTAGCATGCTTGCGAGAGGGTAAGTCCGTCAAACGCAGCTGGGATCGAGTTGGGGAGTAAGCCCTACTGAATTCAGTAGAATTTACTGCCGAGTAAGCTCGCTTTCAGGGCTGCAGTCATGGGCACTCTTCTCTGGGGGCAGGTCCACTGATCCCAGTAGGAGCTTACTCCTGAGTAAGCGTGTATGGAACGAAGCTGACCCCCCCCACCGCCCTCTCTCTTTTCTTTTGACTGGATCGTGCCCGTTGCTTTAAAAAAAGTTGTGCCCCGTCCTCTCCAAAAATCACTCTCTGTGAGAGTCGTGTGTGTCTCCCCCACCCCCATTTCTTTCCTCTGAACTCGTAAGCAGAGGTTTTCCGAATCCCCGGTATTTATTTTTATTGGCTTGGGTGATAGAAAGACGGTACTTGGTTTACAGTTTCGGGGTACCTGTAAGGCTGGGACGGAATGCCTCGCATGCGCTGCCCTTTCATGTCGCCCTGGCTGGCTGACGTGTTTGAGTCCCTTTCCTTTTTTTCCAAGATGCTAGATCGAGCATGTGGTTTCTGCCGGAGCCGTAAAACCACTTTTAAGTGTATTAAATGCCGGCAGTTAAAACCTTGTATGTGTGAGGTTCCGCATCCCTCGACACCAGCAAGTACTTTGCCCGGGCAGAGTGTGTGGAGAGGGTGTTTTTCCAGCATTTTTGACATTCCTTCTGATATTGCAAACATCAAGGCCAGATCACACTGTGGAAGAAAGCCCTTGGCCCCGGCCCCAACCGTTGAACTGCAAGCTTGACAAACCGTGAGGTCCGCTGACGTTGGTCTTGTTTGGATTTTACCAGGGCCGCGCTGCGTAAGCCGTGACACATGTCAATCAATCTTCTCCACGACTTGTTTCCTTCTTGGAAAACGAGGGTGGGAAAGAATGAAAGCAGCTCTTGGGGATATCAGAAGGGGATACCCTGCCCGGGGGGGGGGGACGGGACCCCCCAAAAAAACCCCTGCCTTTTTTTTTTGCCTACTCTTACTCCGTGGAGCTCAAGGGTGCCATCCGCGGCTTCTCTCTTCCTTGGCTTCACAACACTTTTGTGGGTTGGACTAGGCTGGGTCATGGAGCTCTTCTAGACGGGAGGCTCCCGTAGAAGTGCCGGGGGGGGGGGGGGAGAGCGCTCTGCTCCCCCCTAGAAGCCCCGCTGCTGCCTTCCAGCGCTCCAGAGGGGTTCCCTCTTCCCGGAGCCAGCCAGTTCCCGCTCGGCCTTTCCCTCCCCGCAGATGCCTGTCTTCTTTCTCGGCGCTGTCACCCAGCAGCCTCCGGAGCCGCTTCCCGTCTCTCCTCCTGCCACATTTAACGTGCTTCTATTTCTTTATCTCGAGTGCCCTATACTTGACCTACAAGATTGCTGTCACTCAGGCAAGTCTCTCCCCGAACCAAAAGGAAAACAGAAGCCGCGGCGCAAGGGCTTCAACTCTCCCCCTGCCGCCGCCCCCCCGCCCTCCACCCACCCACCCACCTTCCCTCGCTTGCAACGCTCTTGCACCGAGAAGAGGGCGGATCTACAAACACCCTGGTTGTACTACTATCTGGCTCCAAACAGATGGGCTGGGTCTCAGGGAGACAGAGCAACCCTCCGTCGGGAAAGAGATCAGGCTGTGGTTCCCCCACACACACACCCCAAACCCCCATATTTTCAGTCCTTCTCTTGACTTGTGGCTTGAAGCCGTCCGTTTGTTGATCTCAGGGCTGGTGGAGAGCAGGTTGAGGTGACATCTGGCTGGGTACAATTTACACTTTCTTTTTTAATCCAGATGTGTACTTTGCACGCATAAGGTTGAGCCAGCTTTTCAGTTTAACCCCTGCTAGGACTCTGATGCAAGGTTGGGAAAGTGTGTGCAAAATAAATGCTTTTAACTTGTTGGAGGGGGTGAACCGGGGTGAACACAAAGAGTGATTAAAATGTGGCATTCACTGCCAGAGGATGTTGTGATGGCCACAGGAATAAACAGCTTTAAAAGGGGATTAGATAGAGTCATGGAGGATAAGTCTTATCCGTGGCTACAGCCATGGTGACTGAGGGGAACCTCCAGGTTTAGCAGCACTAAACCTCTGAATCCCAGAACCAGGAGGCAAGCTCAGAGGGAGGCCTCGGCCTCTCTGCCCTGTTGTTGGCTGTCCAGAGGAACTGGTTGGTCACTGCGTGAGACAGGATGCTGGACTAGATGGACTACCCGTCTGATCCAGCAGGGCTCTTTTTATGTTCTTATTTGTGGTGTTTTAGTCGCACAGTCGAGTTCGACTCTTCGCAACCCCATGGACCAGCTCCCGCCAGGCCCTCCTGTCCTCCGAAGTTGGCTCAATTTCATGTTCGTTGCGTCGATGACACTGTCCAACCATCTCATCCTTTGCTGTCCCCGTCTTCTTTGACCTTCAATCTTTCCCAGCATCAGGGTCTTCTCCAGTGAGTGCTCCCTTCTCATTTGGTGGCCAAAGTATTTGAGCTTCAGTTTCATTATCTGGCCTTCCAGGGAACAGTCAGGGTTGATTTCTTTTAGGATTGACTGATTATTACTTATTACTTGCATTAAAACAAGGGTTGAATACAAAAGTGCCCTGCCCCTTTAACAGAAGCGGGATGGGATTTTATTTATCAGGTGAGGTTTAGTGCCATGAAAAGCTCCCACTGGCCATGTCCATGTGCTAAGCCTCAGTTAAAGGGGCTTTTCCCCCTCCAGGTTGTTGGCAACCTGAATTAAAACACCTGGCCTGTCTGATGCCCAGAAATGCCCCCCTGTTTAGCAACTTAAGGTTTGGGATAATTAGGATTTCCCACTCTCTCTTCCTATCATTGGGAGGGGGGAGTCTTGACTGGGAGCAAGGTTGGCGAAGTGGCTAAGTGCTGGCTGTCAGCCAGGGAGCAACTTTGGTGTGTATACACACACACACAGAGGATGGTTTTCCTCTGATCAGCAAAGAGCACAGAGTGAGATTAGTATTTCTCCTGTCCCCCGGCTGCCAAATGTTTGGTAGTCTGTTGTTGTTTTTGTTTGGGATGTGACTCCCCCTCGTCTGTGTCAGTTGTTGTGTCCTGGGAAAAAAGGACTTGCCGCCCTCGGTTCTGCTTTCTCTAAGGGGGTGCTCAGAGAGTTCCACCCATATAACCAGAAGCAGGTTTTTGTGGTGTTATTGACGGGTCGTTTTAAGACTTCGTAATCCTTGTGCTTGGGTGGCAGGGAAGAGAAGAGGCACTGTGATGGGGAATTCACAAATGCCGTTCCTGTTCGTGTTTGACTTGTTCCTTCCAAGTGTCGTACGGCTGGCCCTGCAACTCCTGGCTAGAGCACATTGGACTGTGGAAGGTTACCAAGTGCAGTCCCTGACCCTGGCCGCAGGCAAGGGAAGTCCCCTTCTGAACCTCAGCCCACCAATGCGGGCCTATCTCACAGGGCTGTTCTAAGGCTTCTTTGGCTGTGACTCACAGGTAGAACACATACTTTGCATGCTGAAGACCCCTGATTCATTAAAATGATATCAGGCAACAGGTCCTGGCTGAGTCTGTCTGCCTGAGACCCTGGTGCTCCACAGCCAATTAAATTAGACCATACTCAGCTAGACGGACCAACCATCTTACTTAATATAAGGCAGAGTCACATACTTTAATAGGAGCAGTCATGGTTCAGTGGTTGAGTGCAAGTTTGGCATACTGAATGTTCCAGGTACAGGCCCTGGCATCCTCAGTTAGAAGACCTCAGGAGGCAGGTGAAAGTCCCCAGAGGAGAGCTGCTGCCAGTCACAGTACTGAACTAGATGGATCAATGAGCTGACTTCAGGTATAAAGGCAGCTTCATATGTTCTGTGCCCACCTAATCTTAGTGGCTTGTGAGAGGTGTTCCCACCACCTGACACACTCTTCTCCCATGGTGGTGGAAAGTGCCGTCAAGTCTCAGCCCACAGGGAAAACCCTGTGGGGTTTTCAAGGCAAGAGATGCTCAGAGGTGGTTTGCCATTGTCTGCCTCTGCATAGGAACCCTGGGTTTCTTTGGTGGTCTCCCATCCAAGTACTAACCAGGGCAGACCCTGAAACACACACAGGAAGCTGCCTTATACTGAATCAGATAATTGGTCCATCAAGGTCGCTTCTGTCTCCTCAGACTAACAGAAGCTCTCCAGGGTCTCAGGTGGAAAACTTTCACATCACCTACTGCCTGGTCCTTTT